TCGTCCTCGTCCTCGTCACCATCACACCCACCATCACTCATCACCGTCACCCTCACCATAATTTCCCCACCATCATCTAGTCTTCTTGCTTCTACTGCCGCCCATGTGTGCACAAGGCTATCCAGGCAAGGTTGACCTCCACACCCCACTAAACTTACAAAGCCTTGCTCTGTCAGATTGCCGAATCTGCAAACCCCAAATCTCAGAAAAGCGGTCCCTGTGCGGCATTGCCGCCAAGCGCATGAGGTTCATCGCCAGCGGTGTGTTGTCGGCCTTGCTGGCCAGAGGCTTAAGCTTCCGTGCCTTGGGGCGTTCAGGAGCTCACAGCGAAGGGTAGGGTGATCGCGTTCTTACGCTTCATGAGCGATGATCCGGACCTGTTTCTTCGTTGGTTTCACGGTGAAGTCCGCAGGATAAGAAAGATACGAGTTGAGCACGTTGCCAACGCTTGTGGTGTATTCCCAAGGCCTTTCCGCTCTTCAGCGCGGTGACCTTCATGTTCCAAACGCGGCCTACCCCCGACCGGGCCCCAATCGGGCCCTGGAAGAAAGGGCCATGGCAATCTGCCTCCGCTTTGGGAGTTTGGGTTTCGGGTGGTCCGGGCGGTGAGCTTTGGGGCCGTTGGGGCTTCTGGTTTGCTTGGGCTTTGGTTGGCGTAGGGAGCGCCGTGTTGGGCCTCCGACTCTGGCGAGATGCAGCGCGCCGATCGTCACTCCCGATTTCTCTCCAGAATGCTTTGCAACCGGACTCTTCGGGAAACAGCACGGATGTCGCTACCATCTCACGGTAGTAAATCGCAGAAGCAGCAATCATTCAGTGGTGCAGACTGCAAAGGCCAAGAAGCGGCTCGTCAAGAAGGCTTTTCGGTGCCTGGGTTGGGGGGGGGCAGGTTGCCGGTGCATCACCCTTCTTCCAAGACATGTGCCCTCGACTCGGCGCGGGCGTGCGCTCGTTTTCACTGCAAGATCCCAGCAGCGCCTCTCTGCGTTTCACAGCCTCCTTTATTCCCGGGACGGTTTTTCCCTTTGTAGCGGAAGGGGACCGGGCGGCTTTTGCGGCATCCTGAGCCTGAAGAGGCCGCGAACTTCGACCAGACGGAGGCGATCTCCAAGGCGGGGTCCAAGTTTTTTTCGACGTGTTCGCTCGAGAAGCCCCCCCCCGGGAGCCCAGAGTTCCCTCAATGAGCCGCAACTCTGAGGTCCGTCGAGACATCGAGGAAAAGTCGACACTGGCTCCTCCACCCGGCACGCGCTGTCAGCCTCGGAAGGTTTTCGGGAGCTAATCCACTTGAGCTCGGCATCCCAAGCCGAGCCCACTTCTGGTTTGGAGCCGACGGAGTGTTTTGGGGTGCAGACCAGGCTTTTGCTTGGGTTCGGACCTCCACCCGGCCAAAGCACCGAAACGGATTCTTAGTCAGACGACCACACAACCCTTGACCTTTCCTTCCAAACCCCTGAGACATCGTATTGCTCCCAGAGTCTGCGAGCCAGGCTACATGAACCTGCCGGCCCTACCCCCAGCGCCGGGCAGCGTGGTGGGAGGCAGCCTTCTTGACCGGGCCTCACTTAAAAGCGTAAGACTTCGGACCAGAAGGCCCAGCAAGAATTCCTTGCCGGGTAGCTTCACAACAAGCCAGGGCAGAAGCATTCCTGCGACAGGAACGACGCTTTTGGCTCTGCCCCCGCCCATGCTCCGTGCTCAGTGCAGCACGAAATCTCAATCTGTAGAAGGCTCACGAGCCATTCTGTAAGCGACCCTTCTGAGTGAAGGTTTACCAACGCAACACCTGTGCCCTTTCCTGCTACTGCAGGATGTCGCTGCCACCACCGACGAATGCGCTGAACAGCAGTGGACTTGGCTTGGAAGCTTGTGTGGAGTGCTTCTTGGGTGGTGGGTGAACACTGTTCTTTGAATGCTCTACGAAAGCTGGTGCTGCGCAGGTTGTGTGTTTTGAGGCTTGGCTTAAGCACAGTCTGATGGAGGCTTCGTCTTGAGTACTGCAGGCCAGTTTGGGCTGCCTTCGCCAGGGCCGCCACGCCTGCCCATGCGCCCGCCTTGGGCTTCGCAGCTTCACAGCCTCAGTTTCGCACCGCCGCCCCACAGGGACTTCAAGGTATCAGAAGAGAGCTTTGGAACAGCCTGTTTGGAGAAGGCGTTCTGTGAGGAATTGTTGTTAGTGTTAGTATCCCATGCTAGCAGGGTGACAAGTTGGGCGTGGGGTTTCTTCAGGTTCCAAGTTGGTGCCCCCCTCTTAGCTCATAACTTGGCTCATAAACCCTAAACCCAAAACCCTAAACCCTGAACCCATCCCTCCCTAAGCCAGCAGCGAAAAAGTGACCCGCTCAGCCGACTTGCAGGGCCTTCGGGGACTCCCAGCCTGCTTTGCCGGGGCTGCCAGGACCGCTTAAAAATGGTCTTTGTGGGAGGGGGTTCCGAAATGTGGGTTTCCATGGGGGCTATGTGAGGGTTTTTGAGTTTGTTTTAAGTAGGTATTTACATGGGCCCTGCGAGGAGAGATTTTTTCGGGCTTCTCGTGAAACGTCCGGATTGAAAAGCCCAGGCTCTCAAATCAGAAAGCCCTCGTTCTTCAGATGTGAAGCGGATGTCGGAGAACGGGTTCAACCCTGGAAGGAATGCCTGCTCTGCCCGGCTTGCCGCCACTTCCCACGTTGAAGGCGGGCAATCTTTGAGTGCAAAAGACGCGTCAAGATTCTTCACCGTTCTCTGGCCATCTGTCTGTGGAAGGGCAGCCGTGCATCCTTGTCCAGGGGGAGTGCGTGCAGTCGTGATATACGTGGCCCTGTTTGGCCACTTCGCTCAAGCTTTTCGATCCCGAAGTCAGAAGCACCTGCTTTCGATTGGGGTGGAGTCCGGCGTTGCAGTGCAGCATCCCTTGCTTTGGGGCGAGCACGGGGTACATGCATCGATTGCGATTCGAGCGCGGACGTTCACTGCGCAGCCGTGCCTCGGAGGATGGTGCTGCAGTAGGAGCTGCAGAATGGAGGTGGCAAAAGCATGTCTCTGTACAAATGGAAATGCGAAGCGGACGTCCGCGCGGCTCAGCAGGACTGGAAGGATGCCGTCCTCGACATCGCTGCAGCATGCCGTCAGGATAATGCTCGATCGCGACTCGCGGAAGCTATAAGTCCCATTGGACCGGATACTTCAAGCCGAATATGTTGTTACTGGATGGCATCAGCCTATGGCAGTGCATCTGAGCATTGTCCCTAAAGCTCTTCATTCAAACATTTATGAAGCCGTCCGATGGTTTGTCCGCTGGGCGTGGCTGAGTGCTTGTATCAGTGGAATCTGGCAACGACGAAGCAGCAACTGCTGCTGATGTGCGCCGATGTGCAACAACGAGGGGAGAACTGCTCTTAGAATTGACCGCAACAGGTGCAGGTTCGTGGGAATGCGGGCTTGATGCCATGCCGACCACCTCTTGAAGCCGTTGCATCATGTGTCGCACAGAAGGGCATGCACGGTCTTTCGAAGTTTCAGGCTTTGCATGTAAGGGTCACCTAGTGCATCCGGGGTCAGCCGCAAACAGATCCCTTGGGAATGCGGCGACCTTCGGATGAGCCACACCCCGCCCCAACACTGTCGAAAGCTCAAAACATGAATTTCAGTCGGCGAGACAGGCGCGACGCACGCTTTGTACGAGCCACTAGCCCTGACACTGCAGGAGAGTTGAGTATCTCGCAAGCGTGTCCCAGATTGACCGTAAGAGTCTTACGACTCTAAGTCCAGACCGTAGTTTTCTTGGTACACTACCCAGGTAGTGTCATGTTATGTAGCAGCTGTGTGTGGGTGTACTTGGCTTCATCTGCGCTAGTGTGGCTTTTCCGTAGCCTATGGAGGGCTGCTGGACACTGCCATTAGAGCTTACATGATCCGTTGAGCATAGCATCACAGCGGGACCACTGCAACTGCAAGTACTCCCGTATCTTGACATGCAGAGGCCGCCAATCCAGCACTCGGTGCACTACCACCGCCGCCGAAATACCCGCAGCCTCCTGCGCAACTGGGGCGGAGCAAAGCAGGATCCGAGGGCTTGAGCCGTATCCAAAAGGATGTCGATACTTAAGGACTTAAGGTGTGCAGGATGCCCATTGTCAATTGTCGGAAGTTTGGATTTCGAAGTCAGACGTGCCGATTGTGGGTTCCGGGGATTCCGGTTCACTCGGTATTCGGGTTCCGCTTTACTGGTTCGGGTCCTGCCTGTTTCTCCTCTGGCTTCCACGATGTCATGTTCGAGCCATGGTCTTTGTTGTTTTCAAATTTGTTTTTTTTGCACAGCGGGCTGCTCTGCTGGGAGGCTCTTCGTCAAGGTGTGATCGGGTGAGTTTTTTCCTTCCGAATTCACTCGCGCCGCCCGGCACGTCATAGCCAAGGCGCGCTCTTCGCAGCTCTTCGGGGGGCCCAGCCGATGCCTCGGAGTTGGTCGAAGAGATATCCAGCAGACATGTGAGTCTCTGAACCTGAGGGAGTAGGGTTGGAAGCTTCGGTTGGAAGAGTCTTGTTGCCATGATGTGTTGTGTTTGCGGTTTTGTTGGCAAGTGGAGGTCCGGACCCTGAGTGTTCAACAGCCCCTGTAGGCGAAGCGACGACAAGCCATGGCTCAGCCCTGAAATCGCAGTTAAGGCAGCCTTGACAGCACCGCCGCCCTCGCCGGGCGGACGGACGATGCCCCGCTCCAAGCCACAGTGGCTTTTGAGCCGCGGTCTCCAGCCTCTTACAGTGGTCTGGTTCCGGGTTTGGGTTGAGGCTTTGAAGGATGCCCAGGAGGCGGATCTACCTGACAGCCTAGTGAGGCCTGGGCCTAGCCGCTTGGAATAAGGGCCTAAGAGGGATTACGTTGCTGCATGAAATAGGCCGCTGAGGCAGCTGAGAGGGATCATGTCCCGGGATGCCGAGGCCACGGCAGCATGTTCGAACTTTGATTCCCGTTGAACCGTTGCCATCCGGAAACGAGGCCCCTTGTGGCTGCCAAAGCGAGGATGGCAAGACTCCAAAACGCCATTTCTGAGGTCGAACCCCTCCATCCAGGGTCCTCGAACGGCCGGGAAAGGCCGCATGCTCCAGATATCAGGTTTTCTGGCAGACGAGAGGAAGCCTGGCAGTTCTCGAAGTTCCCCAAGGGTTGAGGGGAGGTTTGCTTCTTTGTTAAAGTGTTTTGAATGTTGGAGGTGGGGGAACTGAAAGGGGATCCTCTAAGATTAAGGAATGCCGGTGGCTGAGGGCTTGCTTCGCCACTTGATCGGATTCTCCGTTCATGTTCAAACCCCAAAAAGCCTCCGTAAAAAGCCTCTGTGAGAGATTTTCCACCGCAGACAACAGCCTGCAGGCTCTGCTCTGCCACCACCGCCCTCGGGGACGTTCTCGGACAGAGAGGCCGGGAGCGTGTCTGGGGACCATGTCTCCTTGGCAGCTTAAGCAAGGAACTGGTAAGATCACTGCTGCCCCTAAAGCGGGCACCCTGCCTACACCCAGCTGTAATCTGGTGCCCGGCAGCTTGAGACCCTGCACCTAAATCACCTTTCCCGTCACTGGATCCGCGTGCCAGGCCCTTCCGATGCCCGGCACTGTGACTTCGGAGGCTTTTCATCAGGCCGTCAGTTCTTTTAGTAGGCTCAAACTGTCAACGCGGGCCAGTAGGTGGCAAGGGCGGCAAAAAAGCTGAGCACAGGGTGGGTTTCCTTTGCTGGAAGCGTCCAACGACAGAGGCGGCAGCCGAAGAGACCGATGAGGCCGAGGAGGCTCGGCGCGACAAAACCCCGGAAGCCCAAACACGGTCCCTAGGCCCTAGACCCCAAAAAGATGTGAAGTCGGGGACCATTTTTATGAAGTGAAAGGAATGCCAGCCCATCGGCGCATGCGACAGTCCTGAAGCCTCCAAACCACTTTGCCACTTAGAGTCCACTTGCCGCGCCCTCAGTTCAGGTTGCAAGGCCTGCGCCTTGCCGATAAGAGGCAGCCTCAAAGCTTGAAGCATGCGACCCGAAGGCTTTGCATGAGTGCAGCATGCCCCTCAAAAGCTGGAGAGGCTGCGGGGACGGCGGTGCGACGAATTCAGCGGGACCCGAAGCCAACACCTCAGGGCGGCGTAGCAGGGGTGTCTGTGAAGAGATCGAACTTATCGGCACCTGCATGAGACTCGGAGTCTGGCATTTGCCGTGATCCTGCCTGTGATGCACTCCTAGACCCCTAGACCAATGTATCTAGGCCATATGTTGGAATATGTGGAAGAGGCAGTCTAGGACGGCAGGTCGTTCATGTCAGAAATATCCCTTCCCTGGCCCATGGCTTTCAAAGTTTCGCTTGCTTCCCTGACCTACGCCTGAGTCATGCTCCCGAAGTCTGCACAACCTCCCGCATACCAGTCTTCAAAGCCGATGAAATGTGCTTGAGTCGCTCGCGAACTGTTCCAGGGCAGTTCCGAAGTACTCACAGTCAAAAAATGTGCAACCCTAAACCCTTTGTGAACAACCTAGGCCCGACAGTCTGAACGCGAAACCCAAATCCCTCGTCCCTGAGCCCTTCATCCAATGCACCTCGTTGCAGTCATTTGAGGCATGGGATGGCCCCCGGAGATCCGCCGCCTCTGCGGGGGCTCTCGGAGAACAGTGGCGCTTTCGGGGTGGGTTTAGGGTTTAGTGTTTCGGGTTTTAAGTTTAGGGCAGGGTTTAGCTGTCATTCGCATCGGTAGGTGAGGGTGCAGATTGCTACGAGTTGAATTCATGTGACGTTGCTCATTCATCCGTTTGGTTTGTCGTTTGTGGCTTTCTTTCCCAAAACCTGTCGCCAGAGTAGCAAGAATGAGTTTTTCTGTGATGCACACGAACACTATGGGGTCATGCCGGTGGTGCAGTGACAATGCACAGCGACATCAGGAGAGCGCATGGTGTCAACGAATGAGGGCAAAGCCAGCGGCATCAATGGCATTCCGACATCGAAAGAGAAAACTGATGGCAATCAACATGGAAGCACCAAAGCTTGACCTTGTATCAGATCAGCTGTCCCTCAAGGCTCGAGACAGGGTACGTGTATTCAACCGCTCTGTTCGTTTGCAATGATTCAGTTCTGGTGCAATGTCTTCTTTTGTTCAGTCTGCTGGCGCAAATCTTGGATGTTGAGTTGACCGTTCGAGGTTTGCTCGTCTCCACTTAGCGACAAAGATAAAGAGCTCTCGTGGAGGTGTGTTGTCATTTAGCGGCTATGGGACGGAAGGTTGAATCAATGACACTTGCCGCTTTGCGATTCTGCAAGCAGTCTTTTTTTGAGCTTGTCTCATTCTCAGAAATGCAGTTCTGTTGCTCGCACAACCAGAGATTTCCTATCAGGCCGCCGTTGTCCGGCCCGCCACCTCCGCCGAAGGGCATGTCGACGCCCACAGGCCTCTCTGTCTTCTGTATTGGTGGGTGGTCTGAGTGAGGATTGGGTTTCGACGGATCTGCCGGGGATCAAGGGATGTAGAAGTGTAAAATTTATGGCATGTTGTAGATCGCCTTTTGTACCTCGCACGATGCCCAAGCCCGAGTCTCGGCAAGCCACAGGCTTTCTTTCTACCTGTAGTAACCGGCCCTGCAGGTGACTGCAAAGGCCGGAAATGCGCGTCCTGTCGTCTTGGCAAGCGCCAATGCAAAAGCACTCACAGGAAGACTCAGCGCCTGCC